CACCTTTGGTCAATCATGCTGCAAGGGGTCTGTTAAATCTGCTTTGGTACAGCTCGCATTGCAGCAGGATGATCACTTGTGCATGATTGGGAGCAGTAGTCGCCGGTGTGGCCTACTACCTGCAGCACCATAGCACTGCTCAGAGCACCTTTTCTCACAGCACCTTACCTCACAACCCTCAACCCCAAAATCTGTGAATCCTATAAACACTAAACCCTGTGAGTGCTCAACCCTAAACCAAAAACTCTAAACCCTAATCCCCGAACCCGAAGCTCTGCCTAGTGTCTTCATTGAACCACAATAGAGACGATAAGCTCTAAACCCCACACCCTAATCCCTAAATCCGAAGCTCTAAACCCTAAACTCTAAACCCTAGGCCCCGCCCCTAATTGAAACGGCCTTCGTCCTCTGTGCGGCAACCGCGAGATCCCAACTTGAGCCGCAACCTCCAGTAGGGTTTAGGGGTTTAGGGTTTAGGGGTTCAGGGTTGCGAATCTTGTTGGTATGATTGTCGTATTTGCATTTGCCGCATGATTGTGGGTTTGGTACTGTTAAAATAATCAGTATTTCTCTGTCGAGCGCAGAAGGGCTCCCAACAGGTTTGTCAGAATACAGAGCACGAGTAGGAGGTACACTAGAACTGTGAGGCAAGTTCAGCCGTGATAGAGTATAATCTATTGTTATATAGAGTTTAGCAGATAAGCAACCAAAAAAATAGTAAACGAGTAAAAACGACATACATACATATATATATATATTTATTTATTATATTTATTTATTTATTTATTTATGTGTATGTGTGTGTCTGTCGGGCTGTATGTAGGTCGCAGGTATTCAGGCCGGCAGTAAGGCAGGTAAGCACGTGCGTACGCCACAACCGCGGCTCTGATACAAATAGCAGCTCGGGAGATGCGCAGATCGCCACGTGCCTGTGGAGTGGAATCTTCGAATGCGGCCGTCTCCCTGCTCCTCCTTCTCCTCAAGGGGCCAGAGACTGGCAAGCACTGCACCCAAGACCACGTTAGGAGGTTCCTGGTTTAGGGGGGTTGTAACTTGTACATGCACATAGTTTGTCACGACTTTCGAACGGTCGAGTTTGGAGACTGTCCTCCCTGAGTACGTCTGGAATGTAGACAGAACTTAAAGTACTTGCACATTGCTGCGGGTATAGCCCCGTCTGTTGACTGCCTGTGAAGTTTTGACGAATCTTGTGAAACCGCGCCTCTTCGGTGCTTTTCGTCTCCACCGGCTTGGAGGAGGCAGCAGTGCTCGCCACCGAGCGCGAGAAGGCTCGGGCGATGACGGTACTGGCAGACACGACCAAGTTCAGCACCGCAGCTGCCACGTCCGCCTTCGATGGCCAAGGATTACGATTCAAGGGGCTGTGCCGCAACAGCCTTGCCGTCTCATCAGCACAACAGAAACTGGTCCCTCAATGGGTGCCATTCCAAACTACAACATGCAAAAAAAGGGATCCTTCAGGGTGACCAAGCAAACATCAGCAGCAGCAACCGACGAGAGTAGGAATCGAATAGAAAGGACACAGCGATTGCTATAGTACAAGGGGCCACGAGCATAGTCGGAGCAACAGCGTCATCAGCATCATCCTCATCATCGTCGTCGTCGAGGCCTTCCGACCCCTTCTCACAACAAATCTCCGACCTGGCTCTTGTGTGCCAGACTCAAACCACGAAGCTCATCAAACAGTGCTACAAAGAACATCCCAACCATGCTTGGCACACCCACCCACACGCACAAAGGCACGAAGAGAGAACGAAAGCAATACATCACGAACGACCAACACACCGTTGAACCCTAAACCGTAAAACTTAAACCTAAACCCCCAAGAACCTAAAACCCCAACACCAAACCCTGTAACCTGAACTGCAAGCCCGCTGCTTCGACGACAGACCTGTTTCTGAACCCCCTGGACCCCATGGCCTCGCTGTAGCAGGGGTTGTCGAAGTCCTTCATCGTAACCTGAGGGCTTAGCCTTTGAGAGCTTAGGGTTTAGGGTTTAGGGGTTAAGGGCTTAGGGCTTCGGGTTTAGGGTGCAGGATTGAGTTTAAGGTTGAGTTTAGGCAGGTTTAGGGGTTAACTAGGGCTGTAGGCTAGGCCCTCCTTTACTTCAATCGTAAGGGCTTGAGCAGGGCACAAAGGCATCTTCCTGACATACAGCTTCCGTGACAGTTCAGGCGCTCCCCCCCCCGCCCCGCCGCGCGCAAATCCTAAATCCTTTGGACGCCCAGTGACTTTGGCGAAATGGGCCGCGTTCAGGCCAGCTGCTAGGCCGAGACTACTGCAGCCTTCCTCGAGCATGGAAGGGTTGAATTCAGGGGCTCAAGAATTACCTATAGTCTCCATTGTAGTTCCTTTTTGGGGGTACCGTTTAGGATCCTTAATATAAAACTGGTTAAACCAAAAAAAGGAATTACAATGGAGACTGCAGGTAGAACAAGGTTTTAGTCCGAACTCGACATTGTCCGATCCGTCTGCCAACAGCGAGAAGCTTTGAGGACCCCAAAGCCCAAACTTTCGACTTCATGCTGCTGTGCTACCACCGTAAACCCCAAACCCAAAGCCCACAGACTCCTCAAGCCCTAAAACCCTAAACCCAAGCTTTGAATCAGGGATCCTCGCCATAGATGTCGCTGACCAGCTTGTTGACATTCCTCCCAGGCAATTTCGAACTACACTTTCCAAACGCCCTTATAAACCCCAAACCCTAAACCTTAAACCCTAAACTAAACCTTAAACCCATTGGGAATTACATGCGGTCTTGGGGCGGGAAGCCTCGCATGATCCTTCATCGTTGCGGTTGTTTGACGCTTCCTCTCTCTCCATGCACACCTATACAAATAAATATGTAGGTATAAGTGAACAAGTCAAACATATACGTGTACATATCATGTTTGCTGACTCCTTCTACCACCATCACCATCATGACGACTGTGCTCATTCTGCGCTGACGATTTTGGGACATATTGCAATGCAAGCCATGATTGCTGTCTTTGTAGGAGTACGATTTGTACTGCTTCATTCTGCGAAGACCACACCTCTAGACACTTCACCCGGATTTGTCGAAAATTGTCGTGTAGGCGTAGACTGCGCCAATGCCCAGTGGTCTAAAGAATTAGTGTGCGTTTTCAGATGTGGGGGTGTGGCGTTCGGTGTCGAAGACTTCGGTTGTTGGTCCTCTCTCGCAACATCTCGAAACCAACGTGGCATCACCGATGTGGTGCGCGCATGCAGCCTGAACCCGAAATGCTAAACATATCTAAACCCTAGATTAGACACCATGACCCAAGATCGAACAGAAGGGCCCTATGCGGGCATCCTACAGGGTGGGTTACGGCACTAGGGTTCTAGAGCGACTATAATCTACCATAGAAGTACAGTACTGTAACTGGGCTTCTGGGGGCAGCTACTTTAGGGATGATGGGAGACGCTTAACGGGGGAACGAGGCCACGCGATTTGAGACCTTGAGTGCCCCGCCTATCGCCTCTGCCACGTTCAAGTTAAGCTCCAATAGCCTAAGCTTCTCTAAGCTCATCCGGGAACTGTAAATCTAAACCCGAAAGCCCTAAACCCGAATCGTTGGACAAAAGGGTTAGGGATGGGTTAGGCGCAAAACCCTCTAAAGCCCTCCCAACACCCTGCAAGCACACATCATGCAGCCACATAATCAACAGAATCACCCTCTAAACCCTGACTTAGCATCCTTGATGGCCTAAAGAACCCCATTAATACAGCCCATATAGAACTCGCAAAAAGGATCAGTCTATTAGTTCTATGGTTGTAATTATATTATATTTCTACAGGTTTAGGTTCATCAGTATCTATTTAGGCAGGCATGCCTATCGGGGTTAGTAAGGTTTAAGGATTCGGGTATGTATTGTTATAATGTCCTACAACCCAACTCTAACTAGGTCACGCGCCCACGAGGACCCTGGCTACTTCGTGACTTCGTGGCTCGTGAACATTATTTCTATCAAAAACCTAGGGTTTTCCGAAACCTCAACAACTATCCACGAACGCAGCCCAAAATTAACAGTTGCTTAGGCATATTCAAACAAGAACATGAAAGCTTATGACAAAGCGCCTTGTTCCAAAACCCTGAAACATACTTTGCATTACGTTGTGCAACAGGCAAGAACGCTGTAAATACCGGTGTTTTCGGCATTTGCACAAAAGACATGAACGCTTGTGACAGCGCACCTTGCCCAGGAACGTCAAACGTCCTTTTGGCAGTATGCTATGCAAAGAAGCAAGAATGCTGTAAATACCAGTGTTTTCGGCTTATGATTGACAGATATGACTGCTTGCGACAGCAGGTCTTCTTCCAGAAACGTCAAGCAGTCAAGCATCCTTTCGCAATATGTCGCGCAAAGGGCAAGAACGCTCTAAATGCCAGTATTTTTGGGCATGGTCGCCGTAGGAGCGGACGTTATAAACCCCCCCCTTCCCACCCCCACCAACCGCAAAGAAAACCCACAGCGCGACCCCGAAAACAAGAAGGTTCACACCAGGGTTCTGGTGGGCGCGCCACCAACTAGTTACTAGTTACAATAGCAAGTATAGCCAGTATTGCAGAGTAAGTCTGTGAAGAGACATCGGGCCATCAGTTCGCTCTCTAGTAGAACCCTGCCTTAGGACAGGCCGTATACTAAGTCTCCCGCGATGGGACTCAACAGACCGCTGGCCCCTCTCTGCTCTGAGGCGAGCAGTCCATGAGCCGTGTCAACAGCCGCCTCAGCAGCGTCGGGGCCAAGAGCATCAAAAGCTCCATGGGCTCGGCTCTCGGCTCGTCTCAGCTCTCGGCTTTGGCGTAAGTCGTCTCGCCTCGCACTCCTTAGATAAGACAAGTGTATCCTTACGTGCCAGCGGTGAACGATGCGGAGAGTGATTCTTGTTGTTACTCTTGCTGCTGCATGATACTTGAGCTTCGCAAAAGGGGGGAGAGGGAGAGGGAGAGGCGCCGGCCGTGGCCCCTTTTCAGGCGTGTCGATGTTCAGCCGGGACCAGTCGGGATTCGACCTGCTGCACCAGCCCCCAGCTCAGAAGAGGCTGAAGTGACTGAAGCTTGTAGGGTTTTAAGGGTCCCGATGATCGTCTAAAGGACCCTATACACGCCCGTTCCAACCCTAAATACCCCCCCGAAGATGGAAGACCCCTCTTAGGCTCGCCGGGAAGAGCGACGCGGTGGCGTCCTCCTTCCAATTCCAGGATTCCGGGGCCCAGGCCTCAGCGGCAGGTACTTGGGGCCCAGCCAGGGCCCAGGGTTTAGGGCCTTTAGGACTTTAGGGTCGGGTCGCGCAGGTGTGCGGGCTAGTTGGCTTTTTGTTGGAGGGTTTAATTTTCGATAAGGGTTCCATGGAGTGGCAGCATGAAAGCCGGAAGCGCCGCCGAGATTTTGGACAGCTCCTCGCCGACCCGACCACGACCTGCGTCGCAGCGGCTAAACCACATGGGGCGCCTTGAATCGAGAGGGAGCGGCACGGAACCTTTGAGGGTTTGAGGGGAGGGTTTTTTTCCGGGATGTCTAGCTCTCTTGTCTCTTCGGCCTCATCTTGAGACTCTATCAACTCTTGCCCTGAAGATGAAGCTTCCCCGCAGTCCGGAAGCTGAGAGGTCCGGTCATTCCGTGCGCTCGGGGAACTCCTTCCGATCCGGAGCCTCCGAGATGGTCCTAGGCGGGACCAGAGAATCTCAGTCGCATAGCGCAAACATGCGCACACACGTGAGACACAAGAGGGGGTGTCAGAGTGGACACAGACATGGGCATACAGACTTCCAGACGGAGGGGATTTTTTTCGGTCGAGATGCAGAGGATCCGCAAACTAGGTGGGGGCTCTTTCCGTGCTGCAGCGCCCGGGGAGGCCCCGTTGGGGAGGGCGAGCAGGGCGAGCGGAGCCCCGAGCACTCGGAAGCGGCGCTGCCTTCGGCGCTGCCGTCGCCCGAGCCTCGGCAACCTCGGCCGTTGCCGCCGCCGCCGGAAGTCCCGATCAACGTGGAGCCGCGCATCCCCGAGGACTCCGGGGTCCGGGGGGTGAGCCGCCCGGGCTTTTTTTTCCAAGAGAGCTCCGAGAGCTTCCATGAGCTTCGAGCTTTTCAGAACTCAGGCGTCAGATATACTTGCAAGGGAGCAGCCCAGCTCTGATTTGGTGCTGTCCCTAGGGGGCGCCGTTTTTTTGGGGGGTTTTCCGGGTTGGGATTAGAGTAGGATGAGTTGGCCTGGTTCAGGAGGAGGGGCCCACGCCCAGCAAGCTCCAGAGGAGGGTCGGGAGCCCCAGAGTTTCGAGTTGTTTCGAGTTCCCTCTCCTAGCGGTGTAGAGGGAGGGGGTTTAGGGTTCAGGGTTTCGGGGGTGGACTTAGGGCCTGCAAAGCTCTCTGTCTGGACTCTAGAAGGAGTTCTAGATTTTCAGGGGGTTGGACGCCCGAGGTGAGCGCCAGCTGCCTGGCGGATGCCGGGGACCCCAAACAAAAGAGGGAAATCAAATATGTGTGTTTCGTTTCGCGCGCGCTTTTGGTCGAGCTCAGAGGCCGAGCGCTTTTCTCCTCTGAGGCGGACCGCCCCAAGCCCATGCTCAAGCGGCGAGTCTCCTTCGACGAGGCGCCTTTGTTAGGAGACAAAATGCCCCCAAATTCGTCCCCTTTTGTTGGAGTTTGTTTGGTCGAGTCGGCGCAGGTGCTCTACATGCAGCACATGGTGCCCGTGGTGCCCAACCAGATCCCGTCGCCGACGCCCGGCTCCAACGCCTCCAACGGCTCCAACTCCTCGGAGGAAGCCGGCTGAGACTCCGAGGACGCGGCGCCCGATCTCTTCCCGACCCGACGCCCGCCGCTGTCTGTCCGGCCCCCTCCGCACCAAAAAAGAAAGCCGCGCCAGGATCTCCATCCTTCTCTCCGGCGAAGCGGCGGGAGGTTCAACACTGGACTGCGCAGATCGCTGCGCACACTTTTGTGCGCTGTTTACCGCCATGTGCAGCCAGCTTTTTGGTACAATTCGTCAGAAATCCAGGCTGCCGCCTGCCGGAGAAGTTCGGCATTCGTGGCACAGGAAGACAGCAACCATACTTTAACAGAGAGTATAATCTGGAGATTGTCGGTACTTGCCGCGAACCGTGGCGGCAGCGCAATCGTAGGGCGTGTTTGGACGCCGCTCAGCCACAGAGACTGTTTGTTCAACCCCTCGCCTCTTAGCAGATCTCCCACATCCTGAAACGCCTTTCCCTCAAGAGCTTTTTCGAGAAGAGCTGGCACCCGGATCACAATCCGCGCATTCAGTGCCGCCAGCACGTGAGGTGCCTTCCCATTTCCGAAAGGACCGCCAAAGTGGACCAGAGTTGGAAGTAACGAAGTATAGCGAAGTATAGCGAAGTATGACGAAGTAGAACGAAGTAGAACGAAGTAGAACGAAGTATAAAGAATGATGATGGCCATGGCTGTCCAGCCACGGTCCCCTCGGGCCGGGCCATGTTGCGGCGATCTGGAAAGATTCCAGGCTCCTGCGGCTCCTGGGGCTCCGGCTCCTGCGCTCAAGGCTCAAGGTCCATCCGACGAAGCTGAGTCCTATGAGCTATATAGGTCCCAAAAAGGTCCCCCAAAAAACCCAGCTCCACGCAGGCGGGTGTCTTCGTGCCTTCGGATCCGATCCCCAAAGGGGTTTGCGAAAAGCGCCCTTCTGAAGGAGTGACCACGCGGGGCCACCACGACGAAAAAGCTGGATGCCGAGGGTCCCAAAGGATTCTGCGCTGAGGTTCTCATGCTTCGAAGCTGATTCGAAGCTGAGCCAAGCGTGGACGACCAGTGAATCTTGCGTAGAGGTTATGAGGAAGAACCGGAGCTCTACACAGTTCTCCACGAGTTATCAGATCTCTTGCACCGGTAGAGGAGCACTGCGAAAGTCCCTTCTCAGCTGCGGCTCCGATGGAGCAAGAGAGACCTTCGACAAATTGACATCGACCGCATAGAAAAGAAGCAATAGAAGGCCTGAGCTTAAGGCGTTAATGATCCTATAATGAGGGGAGGGGTAAGCAAAGTAGTCAACCGTCTGGAGAACTGCCCCATCCATATGCCTAAAGGGCCGCAATCTCAGCAGCAGGAGCAGCAGCAACAACAGCAGCAGCGGCAGCAGCAGCAGAGTAGTAGTAGGTGGTAGTAGGTGGTATTGTAGTAACACGTTTTTTTTGTCGGCGGCTGAGCGGACTTCGCCATGCCGCGCTCATGGAAGTCCTCGGACTGGGTTTGCCCAGGTTGCAGGCCCCCCCGTCCTGTGCGAAGTCCAGTAAGAAGGAACTGAGGACCCCCTACGGTGAAGTCTGAACTGTGCCAGGAACTGGAACCTGGGCAAGAACATGATGTGCGCCACCTGTCCTGGGCCTCAGCTCCCCTTTTTGTTGCGACTTTCTTTCTCCACGCTCGGGCTCAGGCAACCACCCGAAGCCAACCATCAACACCATGGGCTCCTCGGCGACGAAAGGGCTCTCCAAGCCCCAAGCCCAAGAAGGGGGGGGGCTCTCCTGTAAGGCTCAGAAGGACTCTAAGGCTCGAAGCTGGGAGCAGCCGACTTTACACAGAGCCCAAGCAGTGCCCTGCAGAAAAACATCTGATGCCCATGGTTGATGCGCCAACATCTCGCCATGGCGAGTCTCTTATCGCTAGCTGGTGTAGATGGTTCAACTTATTATCATCTCTCTTTCTCTCTGTTATGTAATGTCGATAGGTAGGTAGGTAGGTCGGTCGGTAGGTATGTCGGTGTATCATCGAATATGACAGACAGAGGAACGGGCGAAACAAGCAGTCACAGCTTTCTGTCGATCAGTCAGTCAGTCAGTCAGTCAGTCAGTCAGTCAGTCAGTCAGTCAGTGTGTTTGTGTTTGTGTTTGCGTGTGCTCGGGCATAGAAGGCTTTCCTCGAATGCCCTGGCTCCATGCAGGCACGACTCAAGGTCCCAGGTGTCAGGAGAGGAAAGCAGGCTCAGCCGGCAAGGCCGGGAAGAGCGGCGCGCCCCTTTGAATGGCGCCTTCTGAGGTGAGCGGGCCCACGACTTCTACCCCTTGGCCTCGCAGAAGATGTTTTGCTGGGACACCAAGTGATGTGCTGTCATAATCGCGCAGGAGCGAGACGAAGCAGGCGTGTGCATGGACATCCTGTCGTAATCCGTCAGTCATGGCATCCGCGGCGGTATCAGCGGTATCATCTGTGTCAGAGCCTGGGCCCAGGCAACGGGCAGAAGCGGCTCGCTTGCAAGAAAGGTCTCGGGTGCCTTGAGCAGAGCCCGGAGAGAGCAGGGCGCACTCGCAGGAACTGCCCTGAGTGCCATGCCATCGTCCACATGAGCCATTCCGAGTGCCTCGCCTGCTCGGGGCTCGGTAGTCGAGTGGGAGCCAGCCCACAGACAGAGGAGCCGAGAGCAGAGAGGAGGAGAGAAAAAAAAAGAACACAACACAAGAACTCTTAGTAAACAAAAGAAAACAGAGGCCGCGACCGAAAGAAGAACGCGGCGACGATCCAGGCTCACCAGGCCAGGCCCAGGGGCCCCCCCCTCCCCCAAACACGGCGTTTTCCCTTTTTTTTTCGCTGGCTGCGAGGCCTGTGTGGTGACCACCGCCACCGGCAGCAAGGCGCGGACCCAAAAGCCTCCTTTGCAGACTTTGCGCTGCCGATTAGTGTGCTGTCCTGCGAGGACGCCATGAGATCCGACCGCCTCTACGCCGCTGGGCTTAATGCAAGTGCTACGCGCCGCGCGTCGCGGCGTCGAGCGTCGCGCGGCGCCTTTTCCTCTTTTCCGAGGCCTTGAAGGCGCCCGACGAAGTCTTGGCCCTCGAGGGCCCGCGCACGGCCGTCGACGAGCCGGGGGCCCAGGGAGGGCGCCTGGGGGCGGAGCAGTGCCGGTCAGCTCCTCGGGCCAGGCTCGTCGACAAGTACCGGGGTGTGGACGCCTTGGTGGGGGCCCCGGGGCGGCGCAGGGCAGCGAGCAGCAGATGTGCCCAAATTGCCCAACTTACGCGGCGAGCGAGTGCCGAGCTGTCTTGTGGTAGAGGCCATCATCGATGACCTCGAGAAGGTGAAAGCTGGGAAGGAGGCCATGGACTCCATGGAGGCAGGGGCCGTCGCGGGAAGAGCTGTCGCGGGGGGGGGGGGCCCGCCTGTGGGTCTAAAGGAGCAGCGCCGCATCGCCGAGGAAGAGGCCAAGGAGAAGGCCATGGCAGCCTCAGACTTCATCGGGGGGGGTCTCCGGAGCTCCTGAGCTCGAGGAGCGCGAGCGGGAGCGGGAGCGAAAGAGGAAGGAGGCCGAGGAGCAGGCAAAGAAGGCGCCCCTCTGCTCCGGCGCGAACGCTGTGAACGCTTGCACACGGCCAGGGTGATGTATATAGAGACACCCTTCAGCGCTGAAGGACTTGGTGACGGCTCAAAGGCAAGCCGCCGCCATGGAAGCGGAGAGGAAACGAAAGCGCGAGGCGTCGGAGCGAGAAAGCAGAAAGCCCATGCTTTGGGAGTTTGGAGCTAGGGGCTCCTTGGTAGAGAGAGAGATGTACATGTCGGGTTTCAGGTTCAGGACGAGTTCAGGATGTTCAGGGATTGCGGAGACAGGCTTCGGGCCGCGACTGGATTCCAGAGAAGACAGGTCCCCTCCTCTCTGGATCAGGCTGCCCAGGATCTGATTGCCAGCATGCTCGATGCCGCAGCCTGAGCTCGGGGCCTTGCAACCAGAAGGCCGAAGTCCAAACAAAAAGGGTCTCTGAAGGCATCCGAAGGCTATTGTACGGGCCGTATCTTCTGGTGCTGGACGTGTTGTCCCATCCTCCAACCGGGGTTCCTGATCGGGCACACTGTGAAGCCGCCCCCGGTCGTGTTGACACGTTGTCCTGGTTCCTTATGCCCTGAGAGATACTGTACAAACTGATGATGTGATCGTTCAGAATCTCCGTCTCGAAGTGCTGGCAAGCCGGATAAGACAGGGACGACAGGCGTCCTCCATCTTGGGAGAGCAGCGGCCAACGGAACTGGAAATTCTTGGTACTGCTTTCGCACTGCTTTTTGCAGCTGCTTTTGCACTATCCTTCGGCCCAGGCGGAGGCCGAGGCAGAGACGAAGGACGCCGAGGGCGGCCCTACCGCGGCAGCGCACGACTCGGCCGCCAGCGACGGCGCCGACGCAAGGCAGAGACCAAAGGGGCCGCAAGAAAGCGACGAGGCCCTCGCTTCGCCGCCCTGAGGCTGGAGAGGAAGGCGAAGCTCCTGAAGCAAGCGGAAGAGCTGAGGCGCAGCGACTTGCTTTGCCGTGTCTTGGCACCGCTCAAATCGGTGGAAAGCCCTGAGGCAGAAGCAAGAGCAGATGAAGCAAAAGCAGGCCAAGGAGCATGCTTCGAACAGTCTGGCCGAGAGGCAATAGTTGTCGGCTTTTGTGGCATTTTTTAGGGTTTTGGCTTGTTTGGTGCGTCTTGTGGGGGCTGCGTTTGGGCTTAGAAGTACCTCCATGGACCACAGGGTGATCCATCGGGGCCGATGATGGCCGTCGGAGTGTCAAGTTCGGATGCTGCGCAGGTGGAGGAGGAGGCCGAGAGGCCGCGAGAACATTCGGGGGAGCACCCAGGCGGGGGCATGTCATGGCTGTCATGGCTGCCGTCTTCAGGCGCCGGCGCATGCGCGAGCGCCGGCAAGCGCGGCAAGCGGCGGGGCCAGCGGCAGCGGGGGCAGCGGGCGCCGCCGAGGCAAAGGCGCTCCCCGCGGTCGAAGCATCGTCGGTGTCCCTTTGCTGTTCTGCGAGGCGGTGGTTCTGGATTGACCCTGCTGCAAAAAGGGGTCTGGGAGCCAGCTTGTAGAGGTTTGTTTTTGCACGTGTAACAGTGTGCAAGCAATTCTCAGCACGCCTCTCCTAGACACGCCGTTCCTTTTGCGGACTGCCAGCTCAGCTTGCATCATCTCGTGCGCCTCCTCCACTCGCTCAGTTACTCCTATACCTTCGGGGTTCGTCCGCCGCTCTTCGACTCCCCATCGCTCTCCCTCACTCGGTTTACCCCTCGCGCTGGCTCCTTTTCGCTCGCTCTGCTGGGTTATCCGCCTAATCCGTTCACTCGCCGCTTAGTGCGGAAAAGCAAGGCAGTCAAGCTGAAAAGATCCTACACCCTTGGCTAGAGGATGCTGCGCGCTCCCTGTCCGGCTCACAGAGACTGCGCCGGCCTCCGAAGGTGTTCCTCCAAATGGAGGGATGCCTTTTTTCTAGTGGTCCGGCCGAAATGATGCTCGCATGCTGACCGGGCTGCTGTGCTCACCAGAAACCCTTTTTCTGGCTGCCTGTTTTGTGAGGTTGTTTTTTGCAAGGAGATTTGCCCACTGTGAACCCGCAGTGTAAGGACGCTGCCTCCACCAGAGAAGGAATGGTTGTCAGCTATCCGTCGGCTGCAGAAGGCAGTGCCTGGAGCTTTTTTACCATCACCCCCAGGCTACTCTTCAAGATTCGAGGCTCCATCGTGCCGCATTTGTTGCCTCAGCTGCTGGTGATCGAAGGCATCTCCGTTGCAGCCGTGCTCCTAGTGGAGGACTATGCTCCGACGAATTTTGGGGAGCAGGTCCAGAGCGGTACAGCGGCTGTGACCATCCTCCTGTCCTTCTTGCTGGTTCTGAAGACGCAGGAGGCTTGCAAGCAGTTCTGGGAAGCTTTGGATGACTTGACGACGATGTGCCACTTGCTGCGCAGCATTTCAATGACCGTGTGTAGCATGGTGAAGTGGGAGGCCCATCCGGAAGTTGCAAACAATGCCAAGAGGATTGTGCGGCTACTTGCGCTGTACTACTTAACTGTCGTTGAGTTCTTTCAGCGGACTGGTTCCAATGCCACCGCCAGCAAGAAGACTCAAGACAGGCTGCGAAGAGATGTTGCGGCGTTGGCCGGCGACACGGAATGGACGATCTTGTATCCCGGAGAGCACAAGTCTGTTGAGGGCTCGAAGTCCGTACACGACAACACAAGACCCTCCATCATCCTATTCTGGATAGAGCTGTCCTTGCGAAAGATACTGGATCACCAAGCAGTTGAGACTGACATCATGGCCTTACTGCTTAGCAAACTGAATGCTTTGGGCGAAAAGTTCTGGTATATGGACAAGATTGATAAGACACAATTCCCATTTCCATATTGCCAGATCGTGAAGTGGATCACCTTGGTGTTTCTGGGATTCCTTCCCTTCGGCTTGGCACAGCTCTGTCGCTGGTGGACCTTGGCTTTCGCGGCAATGGCCACCATAGGCTTCTATGGCTTGGACGAGGTCTAGCGGTGGGGTTGTGAGAAGTTTTGGGGCTTTTTGGGGTGATCCTTCCTTTTCTTTGTGAAAAAGTCTCTTCTGACTCTCCTTCCTTGTGCAGGTGGCCGAGATCCTTGAGTCTCCGCTTGGAAACGATCCAAACGATCTGGACCTCCGGGCCTATGGCGATGCGCTGATGTCCGACATGGAACTCATCTGCCGCTGTAGGGACATGAACCTGGACTTCGTGTTTAAACCGCAGGAGCACGTCGATTTCTCGCAACTCTTGACCAGCTTTGACACTAAGAAGAAGTTCCACGAGCGCTTCTCCACGAACCTGAGTGCAGTTGCCTCGAAGCGAGCTCATTCGATGAACTCGGAAATAGAAGTCGAGACAAAGCCTCGGAAGACGACCGTCGTGACCACCGAAGGCCTTCACTCCGTGCTGCCAGGAGCAATCGCTGATTGATCCTCTGTATTCTGCAAGCCTCGCATGCCTCACATCCCACGGCTAAGCCGTGTCGGAGAGCGCTTTAAGAAAGACCTCACAATTCGGCCATCTGCCTGAGAAAAGGCTGCTGCCAAGAACTCCAAACCTGCTATTCCTCCAAGTCGAGGTGGGTTGCCCCCCAGGTCGCCGCAAAGCTTAGAGCGGTCGCATCATGTTGTTGAGCATTGGGGCTGCGACTCCCGCCTGAAAAGGCAGGTAAGGTGCTCGAGGCTCTCGGAATCGATGCCATGGGCCTTCTGAAGGTCACCTCAAGCTTCCGGCAAGGGGCCAAAGAAGGCACTGACCTGCCGCCGACCCCGAGGCTTTGTGGCTAGGAGGAACGGTCCCATGAAGGTGGTGTGAGTTTCCATCAGCTTCCGAGGTCTTACATGCGTTAGTGCCTATATCTATATCTATGTCTATCTATATATATATATATATAGATAGAGATACAAAATAGAAACAAGAAATAAATAAATGGCATGGATGTTGGCAGAGGGCAGGGCGCAGTTAGAGCCGTTGTCTTCGCCCTTTCCGGGGCCCGGGGGATGCTCTGATCATGGTCGGTGTCGCCCTGAGCTTCCTCGCGCTCTCCCTGGCTGTGGAGGCGCGGGGCAAGGCGGGCCGGGTCCGGCCTCCCGGTCCCTGCTTCAAGGGTTTAGGGTTTGCATTAGGGTTTAGGGTGAGATTCGATGAGTAAAAAGAAAGACTCCTCCTGATGGCTCTTGTTGTATGGGGGGGGCGGGCCTTTCCGGGTGTAGCGTTGGACTCCCTCCTTGTCCCCTCAGCATCTCAGCTCCTGTTTGGAGTCTCGAAAAGCTGCGTGCGCGAGGACGGCGGCCGTGGTCGTGGGAGAGCGGAAGCGCTTGAAGCGGGCGTGGGCCGGGGCGTGTCTTGGGTTGGCATCAACGGCGGCTTCGACGAGGACTACGTGGACAGCCGGGGGCGGCTCTGGCATCACACGCATGAGGCCTGGACTCCCCAAAACTGGGGCGGCTGGATGGGCTCGGAGCCACGAGACTACTCCAACTCCTGGGGAAACCCGAGGATGAAGTGTAAGAATTGGCCAGCAGACTACGACCAGGACTACGAGGCCCTCTTGCACCACTACAGCATTGAGCAGGGCACCAATCAAACCTTCCGCGTGAACCTGCAAGATTCCCAGGAACCTCTGAGTTACTACACGGTCAAGCGCCCCGGCTGGGCTGATTTGGGTCTTGGGGGCTCTGCCTCTTGCAGCAAAGACTGCCCCCTGTCACAGAGTTTTGGGGGGCGAATCCAGGTACAACTTCTGCGAGAAGCAGTGGCATGGCGGCGGCAAGATGGACATCGTGATCAACGGGAAGGTCGTCAAGAAGGACTACATCACCAAGTGCCACCACACCCGCACCGACATCTACCACTTCAAGTGTGTCCCGACCCTGGCCGGCGTGATCGAAGTCAGCATTCAAGGCGATCCGGAAGTGAAAGGAGGACGGGGGAAAACAGTGGAAAAAGAGGGGGCCCGTGCTTGCAAGTGCTGCAAGTAGAAATGTCAGACGAGGACAAGCGAGGTTCTCTACGCTGGAGTTTGAGAAATCCTCGGATGGCTGCTCGGACGGCTGCTTGGGGAAGTCCTGTGGCAAGGGCTTCTGCAGCTCGACGACCTTCTACGACTACTCCTCGAGATGCGATTTCGGCAGTGAGGGGATGGTCAACGAGTTCGACTTGGAGGAGGCCCAGGAAGAGGCTTCTTCCTGCAAGTGCGATGCGGATGTCCAGGGAGAAGCCTGTGAGCTGGGCGCCTGCGCAGCCGTTTCTTGCAACGAGCCCTTCGGTGGCTTCTGCCTGGAGGGCAAGTGCCAGTGCATCGACGGCCACAGCGGAGAGAACTGCGAGGTGGCGCCGGACATCGACCGTTTCGGCTGCTACGCTCAGCACGAGGAGGCCCTTTTTCATCTCCGAACACAGCACATCCCCTATATATATGGTCTCGTGTCGCGTGT